ATTCGCAGGCGCAGCCGGACCATGACCCGGAAGAGCGCGGGCGCCACATGGAGTCCCAATGCCTCGGCGGGCGGGCATGCAACCAGGCCCCCGCCCGCGGTTGCTGTAGCAGCTGTAGGTGGGCCCGGAAGGCCTCCCTTCAAGGCCGCAAGGTGTCGGAGCGTAACTCTGTCCAGCGCCTGCAACAGCTGTTGCTGCCGAAGGGTTGTGGGCGCAGGGACAGGTATACGGTCCGCTTCCGGCACTTCGTTGTTGTAGGCTGCTCGCTCATTGTCAAAGGCTGGGCTGTAGGCGTTGTCCAATGCACAGCAGAGGTCAGCAGTGGCCACCAGAGAGGCCAGGTATGCGGCAACACTGTGCCCGCTTGCCCTACGCAGGCCCAGACCGCCCATGCCAGTTGGCAACGTGGCTTGCTCCCAAGCGTCAGGGGTAAGGGGGCCAGCGCAGGAGGCTTCAAGGCTGGCCCGGACTTGCTCATCATAAGCGCGCTGTGCAGCGAGGGGGGCGTGACCCGGCTACTCTAAACGACTTTGCAGTAAGAGGCACATTCCCTGAGCAGGAGGAGTGAGGTCTGCGGGTCCTCGAGCTCGCCAAGGGCCTTCATGAGAGGCCGTGGCCTCAACTCGCTTGCTGCACGTGTGAGCCTCACAGTAAGTCCTGTTGCCGAAAGCAGCCCCATGCAGAGCGAAGGCCCCCGAGCGGTTAACAGGCAACCCAGCCGGGAACAGGCTGGGGTTGACGGGGCAGTCGTCGCTGCAAGTGGTGAGGCAACACTTGGCTGGGTTGAGGACGAGCCCCACTTGCCGGGCGGCCGCAGTGAGGCGGGCCAACCCGCTGCTGACGTTCTGCACACTGCCCGCAAGGCAGACGTCATCCAGAAAGGCAAACGCCAAGTCAGGGCGCTGGCCAGGGGCGCCAGCAGCAGCAGCACGAAGTGCAGGCTGCAGAGCCACCGCAAAGAGCAGCGGTCCCAGCGGGTCCCGCTGTTGGACCCCCGCCTCAGAAAACATAGGGGCGCCCTGGAACAGGAGGCGACTATGATGAGCGTAGCACCACTCAGCGTACGGGGCGAGCCTGGGAGCTTCAAGCGAACGAAGCACTTGCCGCAATTGCTAGCATGGCGGTGGCACCACTGACGTGCGGTGTGTACGGCCGCCTCAGCGCCATAGGGCACAGCCACGCCAAGTTGGAGAGGCGCGAGCACTTCACGAGCAGCATCCTTGAAAGCAGCGCAGAGGCACTTAGAAGCAAGGCGCCGGAGGCACTCACCCACGGCGATGGGCCGGACATCATCAGCAGCTTTAGGCACCGCGTGTAGGGAGGCTCCAGCCAGGTGGGGGGCCAACTCAAGCAGCGCTTGCCCCCGCACGAGCAGTTGAAGCACCTGCGTGAGGTTGGCCAGGACCTCGTCGGTGTGCGCCGTGCCCAGCACTTCCTTGAGATGGTCACCCCGCAGGCCGGTAGGGCCAGCCGCGCTCCCGCGCCGGAAGCTCTTGATGGTTGGAGGACATCTGTAGCAGCGATGTCAGGCACGGCTTCCTGCGCAGGCGGGCCCAGTGGGACCATGGTCGCGCGAGCAGGCACAGCCTGAGGGTGCTTAGCGCGCAGTTTGGCAGTCACTCCGTCTTCAGCACCAAGCAACGGCGGAGCCACCAGTGCAGCGCAAGGTCTGGAGAGTTCTCCTTCAGCCGCCAACTTCAGACAGCGGGCTTGGTTGGCCCCGGGCTGCTCGAGCCGCCGCCGACGAGCAGCGGGAGGCTCCAGAGGGCGGTTCGCTCCCCGCCCAGCCAGCGCTGACGTCGCAGGGTGTATTGGGCGGCTTGCTCGGCCAGCATAAAGTAGTTCGGTCCAGGCGGCCAGCGAGTTGGTGGCAGCAACTCCGGCCAAAGCACGGGTGAGGCACTGAGCCCAGGCAGCCCTAGCAAGTTTGGGCACATGCCGCATGACGGGGATGTTGGCGGCGCAGGTTTGAGCAAGGTCAGGACCGCTGGCGGGCCCAGCGCCAGGGTCGGCCGGCACAGCGGCACCAGGCAGCACAGCAGAGGCCCGAGCAGCCGGGCGGCATCTAGGGTGGATGGCTTGCGGGTGTCCCCACTGAGGGTCCCGGCACAATGGTCATTGAGGTGGCCTTCCAGTGGCTGAGGCCTGGTGGGAGCCTGAGCAGCCAGGCACAGGGCAGAAGACGGCCCCCGTTGCTCGAAGCTCCGTCGGCACGGGCCCGGGCGCCTGCCCCCCCGTTGCCCTCGCTAGAGGCTCCGTCGGCACAGGAGCGGCCCCAGCCCTCCGTTGCCACAGAGGCTCCGTCGGCACGGGCCAGGGCACCGCCCCCCCCCTTGCCTCAGCCCCTGCCCCGCACCGCTGAAGCCTACTTCCGGCTCGTTGCTGCCAGGGCTGCTGCCCCCAATTAGCCTGCTGTTTGGCAAACAAGCGGCGGCAGGGCCGCTGCAGTGTGAGGCGCACCTCAGTCCTGAGCCCTGAAAGGGGGTCGTAGCCCCGCCAGTGAAAGTTCAGGGCTGTTACGTCCACTCGCCCCGCTCGCGGCAGGTGATTGTAGGCTCCAGGGCAGCTCAGGGCTGACCCTCCGGGTGCAACTGCCGAACGGGCGGCTGCACCAACCAGGACGCAGACTTGTAGGAGGAGTGTCCAGGAGATCTCCCCGAGGGAGGGGGCCATGGCTTGAGTCAGGTGGATGTCAGGCCCCTGCCGGAAAGGCCCAATTCTGACAGGAATGGGCGCCTGAGAGGCATCTCCATACGGACGGTAGCGTGAAGAACATGGATTTCATTCTACACCCTCTCATACCCCGGTCGCTTTCCAGGATTACACTCCTATTGGAATGGTAACCCACCTCTATATACACACCAATCTGCACATGATCCTGAGAAATCAGTAAAAGTGGTCTATGTCAAGCACACCATATCACAAACTTACACTGCTGCCCAAGCAGTTGTCCTAAATTCGCTAGAACCCGCCAGCCACCTACACCAACAGAGGGGCCACTCTTGTGAGGACCTCATATCATCATTGCAAATCCCCCGAACCCCAACTACTCGCCACCACACCCACATCGCAAGTAGTGAGCCGTCAATGAGATCCCAGGCAAGGAGAAGGACTGAACCATGGAGTGGGACCAGCAAGCGCGTGACTACATATGGGAACCTTGTTGAGAAACACCCTAAGTACGATAAACCTTTGCAGGCGTAAAAAAGTCTGAAAAAAACGGGCTTAAAACGTGCGCAGTGCACCAACATGCACATGTCTAAAGTATCCACTGCTTGGAGGGTTAGGCGGTCTCAGTAAGTAGCTTAATACCCCCCATAAGCCATGTAATTACCCAAGTTGACCCCATTATTAACCTACTTACTACATTCAAGCCTCCCTGACCCTCCAAGTAGTGGCAAACCAGACCCAGCAACCATGCCGGTACTCGACGCAGGCAGCACCACCGCTTCCAAACAGCAGCGTAGCGCGTCTGCTGCTTCTGAGGTGCAGTCAGAGGCTTGTCCTTCTTCATGCTTGCCACCATCTCTACTGGGGTTTCCAAGAATCTGGGGTATCTTATGGAAAATAACTGGGCTCCCAATTATTGGAAACCCCTCTGTCAGTGGCGGACAGCCGTGCTTGAGCACAAAGCTCAGTTCTGCATCAAAGATCCTAGCTGACAGGAAGAAACCCAACCAACTGGTACAGTAATGTTCAGGGTTCAGGGCTTAGCGTGCTGTCTTTCAATCCATCTTCCTTTGGGCCAGGTTGACTGAAATCCAGCCGTGAGAATCCGAGCACATCCTATGTGGATGAGAAATTTCCAGAAAAATGAGCTTCCCCCCATATACCCTCAACATGTTCACCCCTTTGTCATCATAACCGTTTTTTAAAACATGGGAACATGGGACTGACTCGGAACCCCTGGTAAGATTCTGACATCTGAGTGAGGACCCATGAGGCACCCATTGGCGTATTCGTTTTTGACAGGCATGAGACCACTACGGCATGTCTTACAGGTGAGGTTCTGATGCAACCGCAAGTTGGGTTTACTAGTAATACTATTCCCAGAGCCCCAAAAGGGCCTAAAAATTAGATCCCCTAGAACCATATGGGAAATTGTAAAAAGATTATAAAGGGTAATAATGGGTCTATATGGGGGATCTAGTTTTTAGATCCTCCCAGGGTCTGGGTGGAGTACGGAGGTGTCACCTGCTCTCGCGAGTGAGCTCTCCGACTGACTCCAGCCGACCCACTTGAAAAAAGATTTTGCCTCTGGTTATTATCGGGATATTCTAAGGCTCCTAGTAGGGTTCTTATAGGGTTGTTATAGGGTTATTAGTAGGGTTACTATAGGATTGTTATAAGGTCATTAGTAGGGTTATTAGTGCTATACCCGCATCTTTAGCGCTCCCGTAGGGAGGCAACAGCTAACCCTGTAGGTAGGGCAGCGGAATGTCCATGACGCTGTACCTCATGTGAGCCATAGTCTAAACTCCTAGTATCCCCCTTTGTAAGCCCTATAGTAGTCTCCTATATAATCCCTGTAGAATCCCGTTTAACGAGTTTAGACTGTACCTCATGTTGCTCAGGCACCCTGAAGCGAGGTCCGAGGAGGCGTCATCGCCCAAAATCCTACAGGCAGAATCTTGAACCAGAGATCTCTCCAAAAGAGCTGAAGCTAAAACCCTAAACCCTGAACCCTAAACCCTAAACCATAAGCATCTTCCGTACACTGTACTACCATCTATCGCAAAATATTGCTCTAATACTGTATGCCGAGCTTGGAAAAAGGCAATACCCCTAATCCTAGCTGAAGGGGTCCCAATAGCGCAATGTAGGTAATTAATATCCAGAGACTTCAGACCCTAATGTAAGTAATATCCAGAGACTTTAGGGCGCAATGTAGCATGTAATATTCATAGACTTCAGGGCCCAATGTAGGTAATATGTAAAGAGTCGAGGGCCCAATGTAAGCGTTATTTGTATACTTGGATCCTTAAACCCAAAACCCTAAACCCTATCCCTAGGGCAAGCTGCAACCAGCCAGCACCCTCGGCTTTGAGCCTGTCTCGTCCGTCTGCACCAACCCGTCATTACCGGTGCATGAATGCCTGGTCAACAGGGTTGAGGGTTTAGGGTCTAGGGCAGTTCCGAAATGGGGGTTTCCCAAGTTAGGAGTCCCCGCATTTATGGAAACTAGCAAATCTTGCACAGATATGAACGCAGCTTCTCAAAAGAGATGACAGCTCTAAGCTTGCAGATTAAGGTCTTTTGACCGTTTTTTGGGTTGATACAGACCATAAATCAAGATGAAACTGTACAATGGATCTTCCCTGGTCCGGAACTCCGAACTACATGGACCTTATGATGGTGCTTATCTAAACCCATAATAGCACTAAACCCATAATAATAGCCCTAAAGGCCATAATTTTACATACTTTTGGGGCCCAGGTACCCTAAACCCTGAATTGTTGTTGGCAGGACAATGCTAAATCGTGGGTCACTTCAGCCGTGGATCCTCAACGGTTCCCTCGGTGGAGGTAAAACTAGGGTTTAGGATTCAGGGTTTAGGATTTAGGGTTTGGGGTTGGGTCCTCCAAAAGGTCTTTCTTTTCAAGATGAGTCCTATATTGGGTACTCTGGAAACTGCATTGTCAAGTTCAGGTTTAGTATCAAGGGGCTGGGGCGTCGGCATGGTGTCGTCAATCAACCCCGAAGCCTAAACTCTAGACTCTAAACCTAAAACAACACCATGCCAGGAGATGCGCAGCAGCATTTACCTTCATAAGCAGCATACTGCAACGAGAGGCTGTTGCTGTGACGGCTATGGCTTAGGTGGAACAACGTCCCCTTATGCCACAGAAGCAGTGTCAAATACTACATCTCTCGCTTCCTATTGGCTTCAGCCCATACTTCTCTTCTGGTGCTTTCTCCACCTTGCAAAAAGCGCCATGTACTCAAATATAACGCCAATATAACCTTGATAGAACCCCAATATAACCCTAATATAACCCAAAAATATAGCCCTAACACAACCCTTAACATAACCCCAATATAACCCTAATATAACCAGAATATAGCCTTCATATAACCCCGATATAACCCTAACATCCTTTGCTGAGGCTCCAGCCCCAGTAGCAGACGAGCATCAGTACCATGGCTGTGGCCTCCGCTTACTGGGTTAGCCCCTAAAACCAATTCAAATGTTATAGGGTTTAGGGGTTTAGGGTTTAGGGTTTCAGGTGTTTAGGGGTTCAGGGGGTCAGGGGTTGAGGGTTTTAGGGGTTTAGGGTCCCCTATTAAAGGGATTAGGGAAGATATAAACTATACCAGAACCCCACCCAAATGAGGGTTTAGGTTTTCGTGTTGTGGGTGCCCTGGAAATCCGAGCCAAGCAAGGAACCTCTTTCTTTTTTGGGATGTCCGCCATGAGGTGACTTGTAAACATCCCTCCTGCTTGCTGGGGTCCTAACTCCCAAATGGTAGTTTCCCTAAATAGGGGGACCCCAATATAGACCCCCAAATACTATAGTCCTTATTATGGGGACCCCCAAAATGGTACCCCGAATTTTGGGAAACCCCCAAATATGACACTTCTCAAACAAGGCGTCACATGGTCAAGATTTGCGCTGGGTTCTTAGGCGCTTTCTGGGTATAGGCGTGTAAATCAACCGTCCTCATGTGAGCTACTGTCGAAACTCCTAGTAGCCCACTTAGTAACCCCTATAATACTCCGCAATATAATCCCCTCTATAGCACCCCCTTGTCAGGAGTAGAGACTCTAGTACGTGTAGGGATTTATCCATAACATGTTATATGGTAGTTTCCCTAAATAGGGGGGGGGGGCCTTAGTATAGACCCCCAAGTACTATAATCCTTGTTATTGGGACCCCCCAAAAAGGTACCCCAACCGTCCATATTACATGGGGGAGTTGGGAGGGTGCAAGGTTGGAGGGCGCCTGGACTGGGCCCAGGGGTTCAGAGCAGACCTGACATGCCTGGCCGGATTGTCTAAAACGCTAAGTCTATCAAAAACACATAGTCTATGTACAGGTATATGTATATATATATACATTTGTGTGTATATTTCTTGGCCTAAGGTCCCTCCGAAAGGTGACCTTCATCAGGGCACAAGTAAGTTGAAGCTTGACCAAAGGAGAGCATTGGGGAATAAGGGAGTGAGGGAACCCATGAAACTCTCCTTTCAGGCGCAACCATGCGTCTGCGGAAAGTCTTCGCATCCACACTAAACCCTAAACCCTGAATAAACGTCCAGAAACATGGAGGTTTGCACTGAGCCTATGCCCATGCTACGTCTCGAAAGCTACAATGCTTGTCTGACATGATGGTGACTAATCTAAACCGTTCTAAGCCCTACACCCTAAATACCAAAACACAATCCCTGACTGAGCTGTGCAAACACAACTACCCTCATTGACACAAGCATTTTTTTCAAAAAGCAGGGATCCTCCCAAAGACATCTTGAATTCCTTGCAAAAAACCAATCGTTCGAAACACATGGCGCCCGTTTTATGAAACTGTCCTTTGGCCGGGAGCACCTAAGCTCTCTATACATCAGTGCCTAAAACCAGAAAACCGAAAACCCTAGACTCTCGGAAACTAACATGGAAACCCAAAAAGGGCCCTGTAAAGACTACAGTCCTTCTAAAAGGGTACTATATCGGTTT